TAAATACACCGATATGGCTTTAATGTTATGGAGCGCCGTTTTACCAAAATTAAAAAACAACACTTACGTAGTCGTTTTGAATAAAATGAGCGACGTCGAATCGAATTTGAATCGTTTGGGGGTGAATTTGGATCATCGAAGAATCAAAAAAACGATCAATTTTACGTTGGGGGTTTATTTGGCGATGATGATCATCCATGTGGGAATCTTAAATTATGCTGAAATCGGCTCAAATTTGACGATTTTTAATATTTTTTTGAGTAACGTTGTTATCGTTTGTTCTTACGCAACCCCGGTTATTGTTTTGTTGGATTTATATTGCGTTTTATTCGTTTTGAGCACTTTGTTAGGTGTTGTTCGATTCAAATTGTTGAAGTTACAAAATAAGTTTGATAAAAATGATTTAAATGTTTTGGCTAAGATTTATGAAGATATTTATTTTTGTAAAAATCGTTTTAGTCCTTTGTGCTCGATTATTTTTTTGTTAAATTTTATCCGAAATTTCTGTTTAATCACCATCCAATTATTTTCTACGGTCGTTATGGCTTTTCATTCACCAAATCATTACGTAACCATGTCTATTTTGATATCGATGATCATTGTTTATTTTTACAACATTTTTCTTTGCAATTTGGTGTGTAACGAGTGCAATCGACAAACCGAGATGCTCCAAAAAAGTGTTTATTGGATGTTTTCGGTGATGAAGAACGAGGAAATTCGACGTCAAGTAAGATAATTCTTTTTCTATTCTATTTTATTTGCATTATATCTTGGATCCATTTTTTCCTTGGCCACACTTCTGCCAGCAGTATCTAATCTTGTATTAGCAGTATTTAGTGTTTTGCATGTAGTGATTTTAATATGGAAAACATATAGTATTTTGGCAACAACACCTAATGTTTTGCCAGCAGAGTCTACACTTGTGCCAGCTGTATATAATCTTCTGCAAGCAATAAATAATCTTTTGCAAACAGTAAATCCTCCTCTGCAAGTAATACTTACTCTTATATTAGTGACATTTTGCTTTCCATTGGCAATATTTAATCTTTTGTATGCAATAACTTCTAATTGGGTGTATCCAGTATTCCATTATCAATATCTAGTATTCTCTCAGCAGTTCTACATTTCTCCCAGCAGTATCTAATCTTTTTCAAGTAGTTAACAGCCTTCTACAAGCAGTATCTAATTTTGTATTAGCAATATTTTGTCTCCTATTAGCAGTATTTAGTGTTTTACATGTAGTGAATTTAATATGGGGAACATTTAGTATTTTGCCAATAACGTCTAATGTTTTGCCAACAGTTTCCATACTTCTGCCAGTGGTATATAGTCTTCTGTAAGCAATAAATAATCTCTTGCAAACAGCAAATCCTTCTCTACAAGTAATATCTACTCTTATATTAGTGATATTTTGCTTTCCATTGGCAATATTTAGTCTTTTATATGCAATAACTTCTTATGGGGTATATCTAGTATTTCATTATCAATATCTAATATTCTGTGAGCAGTTCCACACTTCTCCTAGCAGTATCTAATCTCTTTCAAGGAATAAACAGCTTTCTACAAAGAATATCTAATCTTGTATTAACAATATTTTGTCTCCCATTAGCAGTATATAGTGTTTTGCATGTAGTGAATTTAATATGGGGAACATTTTGTATTTTGCCAACAACATCTAATGTTTTGCCAACAGTTTCCACACTTCTGCCAGTGGTATATAGTCTTCTGCAAACAATAAATAATTTTTTGCAAACAGTAAATCCTCCTTTACAAGCAATATCTACTTTTATATTAGTAATATTTTGTGTTCCATTGACAATATTTAGTCTTTTATATGCAATAACTTCTTATTGGGTTAGGTTGGCATTCCATTATCAATATCTAGTATTCTCTTAGGAGTATCTAATCTTTTCAAGTAGTAAATAGCCTTCTACAAGCACTATCTAATCTTTTTCAAGTAGTAAACAGCCTTCTACAAGCACTATCTAATCTTGTATTAGCAATACTTTGTCACCTAAGTATTGGCAGTATTTAGTGTTTTACATGCAGGGATTTTAATATGGGGAATATGTGGTATTTTTCTAACTATATTTAGTGTTCTGCTAGCAATTCCATACTTCTGCCAGCTGTTTATAATCTTCTGCAACCACTAAATATGCTTCCACAAGCAATATTTACTCTTATATTAGTAATATTTTGTGTTCCATTGGCAATATTTAGTCTTTTATATGCAATAACTTCTTATTGTGTGTGTCCAGTATTCTATTATCAATATCTAGTATTCTCTCAGGAGTATCTAATCTTTTTCAAGTAGTAAACAGCCTTCTACAAGCAGTATCTAATCTTGTATTAGCAGTATTTTGTGTCCCATTAGCAGTATTTAGTGTTTTACATGTAGGGATTTTAATATGGGGAACATGTGGTATTTTTCTAACAATATTTAGTGTTCTGCCAGCAATTCCATACTTCTGCCAACTATATATAATCTTCTGCAACCACTAAATACGCTTCCACAACCAATATCTACTCTTATATTAGTAATATTTTGTGTTCCATTGGCAATATTTAGTCTTTTATATGCAATAACTTCTTATTGAGTGCATTCAGTATTCCATTATCAATATCTAGTATTCTGCCACCAATTCAACAACTCTCCCAGCAATATCTAATTTCTTACAAGTAGTAAACAGCCTTCTACAAGCACTATCTAATCTTGTATTAGCAGTATTTTGTGCCCCATTAGCAGTATTTAGTGTTTTACATGTAGGGATTTTAATATGGGGAACATGTGGTATTTTTCTAACAATATTTAGTGTTCTGCCAGCAATTCCATACTTCTGCCAACTGTATATAATCTTCTGCAACCACTAAATACGCTTCCACAAGCAATATCTACTCTTATATTAGTAATATTTTGTGTTCCATTGGCAATATTTAGTCTTTTATATGCAATAACTTCTTATTGTGTGTGTCCAGTATTCTATTATCAATATCTAGTATTCTCTCAGCAGTATCTAATCTTTTTCAAGTAGTAAACAGCTTTCTACAAGCACTATCTAATCTTGTATTAGCAGTATTTTGTATCTCATTAGCAGTATTTAGTGTTTTACATGTAGGGATTTTAATATGGGGAACATGTGGTATTTTTCTAACAATATTTAGTGTTCTGCCAACAATTCCATACTTCTGCCAACTGTCTATAATCTTCTGCAACCACTAAATACGCTTCCACAAGCAATATCTACTCTTATATTAGTAATATTTTGTGTTCCATTGGCAATATTTAGTCTTTTATATGCAATAACTTCTTATTAGGTGCATTCAGTATTCCATTATCAATATTTAGTATTCTATCACCAATTCAACACCTCTCCCAGCAGTATTTAATCTCTTGCAAGTAGTAAACAGCCTTCTACAAGCACTATCTACTCTTGTATTAGCAGTATTTTATGTCCCGTTAGCAGTATTTAGTGTTTTACATGTAGGGATTTTAATATGGGGAACATGTGGTATTTTTCTAACAATATTTAGTGTTCTGCCAACAATTCCATACTTCTGCCAACTGTATATAATCTTCTGCAACCACTAAATACGCTTCCACAAGCAATATCTACTCTTATATTAGTAATATTTTGTGTTCCATTGGCAATATTTAGTCTTTTATATGCAATAACTTCTTATTGTGTGTGTCCAGTATTCTATTATCAATATCTAGTATTCTCTCAGCAGTATCTAATCTTTTTCAAGTAGTAAACAGCTTTCTACAAGCACTATCTAATCTTGTATTAGCAGTATTTTGTGTCTCATTAGCAGTATTTAGTGTTTTACATGTAGAGATTTTAATATGGGGAACATGTGGAATTTTTCTAACAATATTTAGTGTTCTGCCAGCAATTGCATACTTCTGCCAGCTGTATATAATCTTTTGCAAGTAATAAACAGCTTTCTACAAGGAGTATCTAATCTTGTATTAGCAATATTTTCTCTCCCATTATCAATATTTAGTGTTTTGCATGTAGTGGTATCTGCATGTACCTGGTAATCACAATCTGAGGTAAATATGACACAATCATAACCCAACTAATGCAGAAAGCCCCACTACTTAGTAGCACTTGGTGCAGAAGCAATGGGCTCAGCGTTAATTAAGACTAGATATTGTTTGTAGATGACTTTATTTGTTGCAGAAGACTCGATATTGCGTGCAGGACGTTAGATACAACTTGTATGAGAATAAATACTGTTTACAGATAATTGTAATGGTTGCAGAAAACTGAATATTGCCAAGATAATGCTATCAAATGACTTGATTCTACTAACAGAAAGCTAGATATTGTTGGCAGAATACCATATTACTTCCAGAAGACTCGATACTGCTTGTGGGAGGATAGATACTATTACCAGGAGACTAAATACTGTTAACAGAAGACTACTATCCGTACCAAATGTCATTTTGGTACTATTTTAAGAACTTAGAGACTCTTCTGCTATGCCAGTAATTTTTTGCTCCAGATTTTGTGCTAATCGTAGTTTATAGAGTCAGTTTTTAAGCTGTCTATAATTGTCTTCTCTGTACTTTCCTCTTTTTGTTTTCTATATTTTATGTGCATGATTTATTAATTAAATTTAATTTTTTTAATTTCAGCTCCATTCTTTTGCATTATTAATAGCGCATTGCCCCATTAATATCGAGCCTTTGGGGTTATTCAAGATCAATTTCAAGTTTTTATTCGCGGTAAATCCCAATTAAATCATATTAATCAAATTTATTTAAAATTTTTTTTTCTAGGTTATAGCCACAGTGCATAGTTACATCATTTTATTATTCCAATTCGATTCAAACGCCGATATTTACACCATCATTACAACGAATCGTTCCGAAATAAATCAATAAAATTATTTTGACCATCACTGTATATTTATAATAAAAAAAAAACTTTTAACTTTTTTCCGTCACTGTATAAATCAATTTACGATCATGCGCACTCTAGATTTTTAGAAAAGCACGTGGTGCGAGTTATTTTTTTGTCGTTAAATTTTTTTTCGTACACAAGTCAAAGTCGTCTACACTTTTCATTTGTTACCACGTTGTCAACAAAGGTAAGAAATAATTTCCGCGATTTTCGCCGTTTAATTTAACGCGAAAAACGATTATTCGCGTTTTATTGATAAAAAAAAACAAACATAATTAATCCCCGTTCGAAAAAATAACCCGCTTTTACAGATTAAAAAATTCGACATAACCTCAAACGCGACCAAAAAAATTAATTAATTTCCTTCGAGAAACCCTTTTTCGTTGATATTTTCGATTTAATCAAACGTTTTTATCGTTTTCTTTTCGAAATTAATTAAATTTCATTTAATAACTTAACCTCAAAATCATAAATTTTTTTTTGAGGTTATGTCTCGTTTAATTTCGCATTCGCAACAACAAACTCAAAAATAACGTTGTTTTTTTGATTTTTTTCCATGTTTTTTCACCGTTTCGCTTGGTTATTCGATTTTTTGTTCTTAACAATCTCCGGTTTGGCGTTTTTTGTGGCCCCGATGTTTTTACCAACGTTTTAAAGCCCTATAGAATGTTTGGAAACAAGAAACTGGGACCGTTTGTTGTAAGTACATAAAATACAATAATAATCCTTTAATAAACGAATTATTTTTAGGGTGCTGGCACTAAAAACGAATGTCAAGAATCAACATCGAATAATAACGTCATTTCGAGCGCGTCGGGCCAAAACGATGGGTCAGGAGACGCCGAAAACATCGATAAAACCAAGTTAATCGTGAATTATATCCCCCAATACACCACAGAAGAAGATTTGGCTTTGATTTTTTCCCAAATAGGACCCATTGAGAGTATTCGAATAATGAAAAATTTGCGAACCGGATACAGTTATGGATATGGGTTTGTTAAATATTTAAAAGCTGAGGATGCTGCCAAGGCTATCGAAGGACTTAGTGGATTGAATTATAGGTGAATATTACAAAAAATTAATTGTAAATGTTAAAAATTTTGATTTTGTTGTAGAAATAAACGGTTAAAAGTTTCATATTCGAGACCGCCGGGTCAAACGATGAAAGAATCTAATTTATACATTTCTAATTTACCAAAGGATGTGACTGAAAAGGATCTCGATAGGATGTTTGGAGTTTATGGCGAGATTATACAAAGAAATGTTCTTAAAGACAAGATAACGGGGTTACCCCGAGGAGTTGCTTTTGTGAGGTTAGATTTTTTTTTAATTAAATCATCCTCAAATAAGTAATTTTAAAAATTTCTTTTTTATTTTTGCATCTTTGCTTTAACCCTTTGTGTCCCAAGAAGTAAAAAATTTTGAAACTTTGTGACACAATTAAAACGCTATCAAAATACACTCAGTAGAGGCCTTTGGAATCAATTTTAGCAATCCCCCCATTCCAGGGGTACTTGAGAGTACCATCAAACATTAAAATATATTTTCAGTATACAAAAACTATTATTGCTAATATAAAAATAATGCATTTTTTATTAGGTTAGAAAATAAGTAACTTGCTTTATCTAAATCACATTATGACATTCACAAAAACAGTTCTTTCTTTCATTACAACATAAATAAACATTGCAGGCAGTACATTTTGAGTGGGGTCTAGCTTTGGCAGAACAATTTTCACAAGTTCCTCTTTCTTTTGAACTTGCGCTACGACATTTTCGTAGACGCAGTAAATTTGAATATTTATTTATCAGACCTGTATCTATAGAACGACAAAAA